CGCCACACCCACCCACCCTCCCACCACACACAAACATAATTATTACACACACATGCAACTCTCTCACAACACACACACACATGATGCTATATCAACATAATAATATAGCTTTGATAAAATACCCCTTCTCCACAAAACCAGTGCCCGTGTTTGATCCCTCTGTTGGGTACTAATTTTTCTTTCTTTCTTTTCTTTTTTTTTTTGAAGGCCTGTGTCATGCATCTCAGTCTGCTAGCTGGAACGTTATAGATCTGGACATCCCTCTCAGCCAAGGAGATTAAAAGTAAAGCACCTAGCTCTCAGTCTCAGCCCATGTTGGCTATGGCATGCTGTACTAGGTTCTGACCACTCTCTGGTTCTGACTGCGGTTCTGACATAGACTTAGATCTTCCTAGCCTAGGTTTTTACATCATTTTTGTTTAGCATGAAATTCTGATACATGTTTTTTAAAATCCCAAAGGGAAATAACTGTAACGCCGTCAGATTGTGTATTGTGCTTGTTCATAGTTCATCATGGCGACTGAAACTGGAGATGGCCGTATTCAAAAAATGGAAGTGGATTATTCTTCCACAGTGGACGAAAAGATTCCCGCTACGGAAACAATGGCTAAAGTGAGAAACTTTTATTTCTTTGTTGTTTCAACTCGCCATTAGAAACATTTTCTCTGACAATCGCCGAGCCAGTTTTATGATATCACCAATTATCGATATGATGCACAACACAAAGTTGACAAAGTCGCCCTGCCTCCGTTACACTTTGTGGAAACATATAGATCTACCTAGAGTCTAAATCTAGATCTAGATCTAGATCTAGATCTAGATTTCTTCTAGATATAAAAGTTACATTCTAGATCTAGATAGATCTAGATCTAGATCTAGATCTTACACTTTAAAGTTTATTTTGTTTATAAACCGTTTCATCAACTATATGAACAACAACAGTACCAATGATTTCTTTGTGTTGGAGTGTTGGTTCCGCGTCGTCTGCTTAATTCTTAATCAGACAGAGATTGGCAAGTTTTCTATGATCAGCTGAGTCAAAAGAGTTTTTGCTGACCACCACCACCCCCCCTCCCCGGAGTGGTGCTGCTGACTGAAGTGTCGGCGCTTTTTCGGTAGTTCCCACCCCGCCATAGTAAATTCGCGGGTTTTGGCGTAAGAGTAGAGGTGCACCCCTGACCTACTAATAAAGATAAGTTGGGGGGTTTCAGGGGGGCACGCACCCCTTGATTTTACCATAATTTGATGTTTTGCAGTTGTTAAGTTTGATATCTTAGCTTGCCGAGCATCAAACGTGTATAGATCTAGAGACGTCGGCCCTTGGCGCGACCGTGCCCTGAGCGCGACCAGTCCCCCTTTTTTCCTTTTGTGCAGCTCGTGTGCAATCTGTTTTATAAGAGTTAAGTGCCTTGTCTAGTTCCACTTTAGATCAAGAATCCTTTTCCAAGAGTGTCAGTCGTCTGCTAGATCTAGTGCAGCAGTCCAGTTCGAAGTGAAAGGCTATTGAAAACATTCTTCGAGAAGTTTTCTTCAGTTACTAAACTAGATCTAGAGTAACTGGTCCAATCCGCGACCACTTTTGTCTCTATACCCTCTGTTTATAATAAGATAATTGTTTTCATCATAATTTGGCTATTCTCACCCGCCCGGAAGTTCTTGCAAGATTAACTCCTCCCCTCTTCTCTCTCTCTGTGTCTCTTTCTGAATACTGTCTATCGGTGTGGACGATCAAATTGACCAAAACAAAGTTAAAAATGATGTTAAAACACAAAAGTAAATTAATTTGGTTGTCTACAAAGATGCTACGGCTATTTAACTTTTCGAATCGAGCCGAACTACGCGGGTCGCCATTTTGTTTTGCCCGGAAATTCTCGCGCTACTCCTCTCTCTCTTTCTCTATCTCTCTCCACTGCCCACAGACAAAATTGTACGCTTTTAGTAGCAATGCCAATCGGGCTTTCCCGCGAGGCGAAAATTTGGTCCCCGTTTACGGGCGATTTTGCGGACCCGGCCGAAGCGTAGGTGACTAACTTTGTCAACCTCGGTCTGCTCTATTTCCGAACCAATCCGAATGAAACTCGGCTACCAATCAGAAAATAGGGCAAACTAATGATATGTGGACGTTGAAGTTCGTACACATAAATTAACCTATACTTTTGGTGTCGGGAACACTTTCGTATCGTGTACACCGAAAACTATAAGGAGTTTGAATTTCAACGCCCAGATGGTAATAGATCTATCTATCCTCTATAGTGTGCTCAAATTTGAGAGTTCTGTGTCAAGTAGTTGTTTAGACCCGATCGTAAATCTACGACTACCCCCCTATCCAAAGCGGCTTCGCACGGAGACCGGCCATTTTCCCCTCACTCCCGTGGCAAATGTCTGTGACCTACAAATCCCCGCATGACTATTCCGGGCCCGTTCATTGGTCACTTGAAATAGGGCAATGGCGGGCGCGCGCATCCGGTTGTTTTTCTCTCTATTCCCCTGTAACATCACAATGGGGGTATTCCGAGGCGAGGTTATCTCGTCTCGGGGTGTTCGCGTCTCAACGGGGAAAAAGAATTTTTAATTGTACGGCATGCTAGATTGAATTAACTTATCTTTTACGGTTGGCATGGTCTAAAGTCATCATAAAAAGCTTTGCAATTATTTAGTCACGCTGCCCACATATATTCTTAAAGATCCCATGTTGTGATACGATGCTATAAATAAAATGGACTCATCCCGACACCCCTTTTTCGCAAAATCGTAATATGTACACCACAATTTTAATTATAACAAAATAACTACGAAATTGGTAGTAAATCTGACTGCAGAAATGATTTCTACACTCAAAAACACATCGGGTAGCCAAGTTTCTCTCGAACATTTGGATTAGTTACCGAGATATCGTCGATTTTCTTACAGAATCTGCTACTGCGTGGTCCACTTTTTAGGAGTATTTTCCTATATATATATATATGGGTCATCCATATTTTGCCGACCTTTACAACCCCATAACTTTTTTATTTATGAACCGTTTCTCAAAATTCAAGAAGCATAATTATCAGAATTGAAAATTCTTTCTTAGGTACCAAAAAAAGGGGGGCAAAAGTGAAAATTTAAATTTTCATTGGCATTGCTACTTTTAGTAGGCTACAGTTGTAATGGAACGTTTGTTCACGGCACAGAATTCTACAATTTTTCTGTTATCACAGTGTAGAATTCTGTGGTTTAGGGTGAACGCAAAATTTGGTGAACGCGCACCGGGTGAGAATAGCCACAAGACTCGCCTGCACTATTCTCACTCCGGGTGAGAATAGAGGTGGCCATTTGCTAAAGAAATGATTATACTAGCAATGCCAATCGGGCTTTCCCGCGAGGCGAAAATTTGGTCCCCGTTTACGGGCGATTTTGCGGACCCGGCCGAAGCGTAGGTGACTAACTTTGTCAACCTCGGTCTGCTCTATTTCCGAACCAATCCGAATGAAACTCGGCAACCAATCAGAAAATAGGGCAAACTAATGATATGTGGACGTTGAAGTTCGTAAACGTAAATTAACCTATACTTTTGGTGTCGGGAACACTTTCGTATCGTGTACACCGAAAACTATATAATAAGGAGTTTGAATTTCAACGCCGAGATGGTAATAGATTTATCTATCCTCTATAGTGTGCTCAAATTTGAACGTTCTGTGTCAAGTAGTTGTTTAGACCCGATCATAAATACACGACTACCCCCCTATCCAAAGCGGCTTCGCACGGAGACCGGCCATTTTCCCCTCACTCTCGTGGCAAATGTAAGTGAACCTACAAATCCCCGCATGACTATTCCGGGCCCGTTCATTGGTCACTTGAAATAGGGCAATGGCGGGCGCGCGCATCCGGTTGTTTTTCTCTCTATTCCCCTGTAACTTCGCTATGGGGGTATTCCGAGGCGAGGTTATCTCGTCTCGGGGTGTTCGCGTCTCAACGGGGAAAAATAATTTTTAATTGCACGACATGCTAGATTGAATTAACTTATCTTTTAAGGTTGGCATGATCTAAAGTCATCATAAAAAGCTTTGCAATTATTTAGTCACGCTGCCAACATATATTCTCAAAGATCCCATGTTGTGATACGATGCTATAATATAAATAAAATGGACTCATCCCGACACCCCTTTTTCGCAAAATCGTAATATGTACACCACAATTTTAATTATAACAAAATAAATACGAAATTGGTAGTAAATCTGACTGCAGAAATGATATTTCTACACCCAAAAACACATCGGGTGGCCAAGTTTCTCTCGAACACTCCGATTAGTTACCGAGATATCGTCGATTTTCTTACAGAATCTGCTACTGCGTGGTCCACTTTTTAGGAGTATTTTCCTATGTGGGTCATCCATATTTTGCCGACCTTTACAACCCCATAACTTTTTTTTTTTATGAACCAATTCTCAAAATTCAAGAAGCATAATTCTTAGAATTGAAAATTCTTTCTTAGGTACCAAAGAAAAGGGGACAGAAGTGAAAATTTAAATTTTTATTGGCATTGCTAATTATACTAACCTTTAAAGTTTACTAACAACTTTCTTGCACCTATTAATGTCTGTGCGCGCACGGTCGTAACCCGTTCCGTATGCGGTCGCGCCGAGGGCAAAACATTAACATGTTAAAATGCGAAATCTGCCAATGACGTTTTAGAATGAGTGACGATATCATGGTATAGACCGGAAGTCGACACACTGAAGGGGCCCTGAACATGGATTGCCTGACCTATTTTGCCGACAGAGACCGCTGAGAAGCAAAATATACGATAAGTGGTCGCGGGTTGAGCCAGGTACTCTAGAGCTAGACCTAGATGTAGATCTAGGCTCAAATAAAAGGTGGGTGGGAACTACCGAAAAGGAAGTGGCTTTCCTCACCCGGGGTGAAAATAAAATACGATCAACCTCTCATCCCGGGTGAGACTTGCCAGCGTTGGCTAATGGCTATTCTCACCCAGTGTGGACCTGTTTTTCCTTATAATTTTGGAATACTGTCTATCAGTGTGGATGATCAAATTAACAAAATCAAAGAAAAAAATGACGTTATAGCACAAAAGGCTAATTTGATCGTCTACAAAAATGCTCTTTGGCTATTTCACTTTTCGAATCAAGCCGAACTACGCGGGTCCCCATTTTGTTTTGCCCGGAAGTTCTCGCAAGATCTACTCCTCCCCTCTCTCTCTCTCCGTCTCTTTCTGAATACTGTCTTCTATCGGTGTGGACGATCAAATTGACCAAAACAGATTGAAAAGTGATGTTAAAACACAAAAGTAAATCAATGTGGTCGTCTACAAAGACGCTATGGCTATTTCACTTTCGAATCGAGCCGAACTACGTGGGTCGCCATTTTTATTTGACCGGAAGTTCTCTCTCTCTCTCTCTCTCTCTCTCTCTCTCTCTCTCCCTCTCTCTCTCTCTCTCTCTCTCTCTCTCTCTCTCTCTCTCTCTCTCTCTCTCTCCCCCTCTCTCTCTCTCTCTCACTCACTCACTCACTCACTCACTCACTCACTTTGGGAGAGTTAAATTCAGAAAAAATGAATGAGATGGACCTGATGATCACTTGTTAAAATAAAAAACATAATTTTATTGAAATCTTTTGCTGTGTGTTGCTCAAACAGTATGTCTAGATTTAGCACCGCTAACAACAACAAGGCGCTCGAATCAGCTGTCTGGATTCAGGCATGTGACTGAGAAGCTACTAGAAGCTTCAGCGTCAACTCTAGCATATATATCTTCAAGGCTTGGTGAACGGAAATTATCCTCTGTCGATGTTGTTGAGATGAGAGAATATAAAGTATAAAATAAAGTAGCCAACCAGGCGTATCTACCCACCAACAAGACTGGCGTAATATTCTGTCTCATTTGCAGATTTGATGCCAAACAGCATGTACAATAGCAGCAGCAGGGGGCATGGAAGACAGGGTGTTATGTAGCCAAACACCTTTGCCAATCAACGCCAATTTTAGAAAATTTTGTGAACGTTTAAGAAACCGGCCATTTATCTAAAAAAGTATTGCATTTTAGAATGTTGTCATGTCAGTATAATATAATCGTTTGTGTACAGTATTAAACAACACTCTTTGGGTGTGAGCACAGGATCCATACAATGAGTGATTTACAGTGCCGCGCCCTACAATTAATTTCTAATTTTGAGACAACGAATTCATATATTAAATAATTGACCCTGTCTTAACCACATTCATACTCTATGATCATTTGAAGAAGAGTTTAGACAGCATGACATACACAGCAATCCATTTATAAGTATGAAATTGTCCTTTTTCTTAACAGTAAAAGTCAATTACTCACTTTGTCTCCCTTCACCCCTCCCCCACCCCACCGGGAAGAAAACAAACTGTACCTCTTATTATTATTATTATATCTCTCTGTTCATTTGTAGCCCATTAAGTGTGTTTCCCTCAATTTGTCAGCAGGTGCGGTATAGTGTATGTATGCGTCTATGATATATGATTAAACAACAACTGCAAACAAAAAGAAAGCTTAAAAAATGAAACTGAACTGAGCTTCAAACTCTATATAAAGACATGCATTGTGAGGGACACGCAGCGTGACAGCATTGTTTCTAATCCTCTCAAAAATGGCGACAAGGCAAGCTGAATGGACCCGCACACCAATAGTGAGTTTACGTGGGTGACGTCACAGCTGCAATCTCTAGTTACGTCTTAATTGTCAAAGGATTTTAAGTTTTTATATTAGCCAGCAGTGTGTATAATAAATACGGTGTGTATTATATATAAACACCAGTTGTCTTTTTAAAGTGTTACAAGGTGTTTGTCCTTGGTAAATTACTCAAATAGAATGTTTCCTTTAAAAAACTAGTAATATCATAAAATGAGATGTTCCTTTATTTTACAGCAAGGGAAGCTTACCGATGCTATTGATCAGCTAATGTCATTGGAAAAACAGACAAGAACAGTAAGTACAAGATTACTGTATATTATATTGAAGTTTTAATCTCTCCAGCCTATACTGCTGAGGAAATAAGTTTGTGTATTCAACCCTTGAATTTTTCTTTTTTTTTAACATAATTAAGATACAATTCTGTTTTTTCAAAACTTTATTCTAAATTATAAAAGGATTTACTGTCTTTTAAAAATAATGTGTAGTCAAGGTTTTCTGTACAAAGTTGTATTTTATGTTTCTGTAAAGTTTTAAAGTGTAAATATATTTTTTGGTGCATTTTTCTAGTAAGTGTAGATTATCTGACATTTTCCAAATGTGTACCATATTTTATCATGTAGAGATATAATATATATATGGTGCTTATGTACTTACTGAGAAAATGGGTAATTCATGTAAAAAAAAAAAAAAAGATTAGGTAAGGTAAAATCTTATTAATCTATGGCGCACAACATTTTTTCTATAACCCCCCCCCACCAAAACAACGTTACTGTACTATTTCTGTACTCTTTACAGACATTTTTGTAGAAAACTTTGTAATCAGTCACCCTAAGTATTGTCTGTTCCATAAGTTAGAGAGTTTTCTTTATTGTGACTTCCAAAAATAAAAGAAAAACAGAAACAACTTGGAAGTTAATCTTTATCTTTTCTTCGTGTTTCTGTTTTTCTGCTACAGGTTGGATGGTTTTTTAAATTATGATCTTAATGAACAAGATTGGAGTTGCCCTTGATAACCCTGCCTGTTTTGCTGCTCTCATAACTTGATGAACTAATAAAATTTAGTGGGCAGCTTTAAGACTGAGAGGAATAACAAAGTATGTGTATACAACTAAAAAAATGATAGTTTTGATTTCAGACTTTTTAACTGTTGAAATTTGTGAAACTTATTGTGACTTTTCTAATGGTGTCATTTTTATTATTCTTTTCAGGCTGCAGATACTCACTCAACAAGCCGTATTCTTGTGGCTATTGTCAAGATGTGCTTCGAAACGAAGAACTGGGATGCTTTGAATGAGAACATAGTTTTGCTGACAAAGAAAAGAGGTCAAATCAAGCAGGTCTGATCCCTTTTTTGAACCGCAATAGAAATTTGAGAACTTTCTTCTTCCTTAGTAAGAGCCATCTTTTTATACATTATGTAGCTCATGTTTCATTGATTGCTGGAGATTGTTGCATCTCGTAAGAGTTTGAATTGTTTCTTTATAGTTGTTAACAAGATATCCGGTGACCCCTTTTTATCTTTATAAACTAAATAATCTAAATTTTTCTGTTTTATATTATAAGAGTTAAAACTCATTTAACTGAATGGTGACTCAAGGATGCCTTTTTATTTCGTAGTGACACTGGTAGGTGTACATGCAGTCATATTTTGGTGGTAAGTAGGTGAAGGACTTATTCTTTTAGCATCATGTTTGAGCATTTGGATTGTTGAATCGTGTTATCAAAACTTTTTCTGTCCCTGTAATACGGCTGAATGTCCTAACTTTATTTTTTCCCCAATTTCTCTTGTCAGATTCTTTTTGGTGAAGGATTGAACTGATTATATCAGTTGTCCCCCATATATTTATTAAAGTGATGGTTTCATCAAATTTAATTTTTATGTCTGAATGCATGTGTGACATTATTTACTTTGTATAAAAATGTGAGGTTTATTTATTTATTTTTTTTCCCATTTAGTCTGTGACCAAAATGATCCAAGAAGCATGTACATATGTGGAAAAGATGCCAAACAAAGAGACAAGACTGAAGCTGATTGATACTCTTCGCACTGTCACTGCTGGCAAGGTTAGTCAAATTTTACATCATTTTATGTCCGACATATGAATGATTGAAAATGAAGCCAAATGTAAGCTTTCTTATAAAACGCTTGTGACATACAAGCAAAATAATATGATTAAAGGAAAGGAATCAGAATGTGAAATAATAATATAATGAATTGAAATTACTATTTCTTTCCAAAGTAAAGAAAAGTCTCGGCAATGATGGCAATGAGTATATTGGTCATCTCTTGTATGACGCTCAAGTGGTTATAAATCCTTCTTTGAGTCTTTATTGCATTTATTTTCATGTACTTTCTATTGTTGAAATTGAAGAAATATTGACAGCATAGTCTGATAAAGTGCCAAGATCCCTCAATGCTGCATTGTGTAAGGTAAGACTCAATGACTTCTACTAATTTCTCTTTCAGATCTATGTTGAGATTGAAAGAGCCAGACTGACTCGTACATTAGCTAAAATCAGGGAGGATGAAGGAGACATTTCCACTGCAGCATCTGTGTTACAAGAACTTCAGGTAATGTTTAATTGTTATGATTTTCATTTTTTTATGTTTAACTGCTTGATCCCTTGGTTTTCATTGTGCTAGTCACTGTCCTAGGTTTACCACATTCCTATTAAGGTTTTAGTCACTGAAATTGGTACGCTTGATCAGTTCCGTAGTATGTAAAGCAGCTGTCAGGAGATATTTGTGGGCTGTGTTTGGAAGTAGCAACCATTTTTTCCACCTAGAACAATTGTTAATTAGAAAAGAATTTCCATACTTTGAAAATACATTTCTGCGTTGCTTTTTCTAGCATAAATGGCCACTTCCCGTTTCTCTCCCATGTGGTTTGTTTTTCATAATAAAGACACTGTAATAGACATCAACATATCTCAAATGGCCAGTTTTCTCCTTGACAATGGGTGGCTGTCTCAGCCAATTTCGACTGTAGTTTTCAACATAACCATTCATTGTAGATTGGTGAAGTGGAAAAAAGTGCCATATTCTAGTATTACCTACATTGGTGTGACTGAATGCAGTGAGCTGTAATTTTGTCCCCCAATCAGATATTTGATTTACATTTATGTAATAGCCCTTGTTTATGGTGTCAATAATTTATTTGGTTAATCTTAAATCAGCTAATGTTGCATTTTCCGTAGATAGTGAAGTGAAGAAATGTAATTCGTGCTGATTATTTACTTGGATTTTCTCAATAGTCTCAAATTTATGAAAATTTGGGGGTGACTTAACAATGAAAAATGCTCCTCTGTAATCACCACTGCTTTGGTACAAATGCTTTATGTTTGCTCTGTATAAGCGGGAGAACGTTTATGACAAGGTATTTTGCCGGTTATGTATCAATTTCTCTCTTTTCGTCTCTCTTAAACAGGTTGAAACGTTTGGTTCAATGGAGCGCAAGGAGAAGGTTGAGTTCATTCTAGAACAAATGCGACTTTGTCTTGCCAAGAAGGACTACATTCGTACCCAGATTATCAGCAAGAAAATCAGCACTAAATTCTTTGAAGATGCTGATACAGTGGTAAGGTTTATATTAGTGACTCTTTTAGCATGAAAGCATACCTGTTTGTGCACTGAACTTTTAACGTGTTTTAATTTGAAAAGAAATAACCCGTGCAGCCATTGATAAACAGGTATCTAGAGACAAATATTAAACAATATTTTTTTTATAGACAGTATGTGTCAAAATATTTCATTGGTTATTGTGATTGGACAATTTGAACAGAAATAACTGCTTTAAAATTATGAATTTAAATAAAAATGGTTTACTTAGATAAGTTCGTATTTGTCCAACTTTTAGTTTTTTTCTCATTTCTTGCCATGATAAGGTGTACTCATAGTTGTAAAATTAGTGATTGAATTCTGCTGTAGTGAGCTACTTTTGCCAATTTTTGTTTCACTCAGGTTGGAGAGGATACTGTCAGTTTGTAGAGACTATCAATGAATCTAAATGGTATGTGATACACATACTGCCGTGTTGTAGTGTGTCTCTAGGGCAAGGGGATTATTGTTTTGTGCTTGTCTGCCTTTCTTTGAAGATGATGTGACATGAGATTGATAGATTAAAATTAATACTGTAAAACTTGGCTTTGTATTATTACTCTTTTACGTTTTTGCCTTCCTTTTTTCCCCCCTCTGCTTGTGCTTGGAGGTGTAGCCATGGCAGGTGAAGTTTCCTAGATAGCCCTTCTGTGGACTGTCTGTTTATCTTTACCATTGTTCTTCTCATGTCTTGTTGGTCTACAGGAACTCAAGCTGAAGTTTTACCAGCTGATGATTGAGCTGGACCAGCACGAAGGCTCCTACCTAGCTATTTGCAAGCACTACCTGGCTATATACAACACTGACCAGATCAAGAAAGACAAAGAAAAAATGAAAGAGGTAACGAGAAAAGACTATTTGACAGATTTTGTGCAATGGTAGAACTATCTAGTCATCACCAGAAATCTCGTTTTTCTATTTTTTTTTGGTCAAATAAATTATTAGTGAAAAAAATTCTGGGGATTGCTGCTGAATTGGCTATTTGTTTTCAAATGGTCCTCAAACTGATCCTGTTGTGAGAGACTGGAGTGTTGCAGACAAAGGGTTATACAGTAAAACTCGTTTATAATAAAGTCCTTGGGGTGACCTTCAAGTTAGTTTATAACCGAGTATTTGTTATGAGAAGGGTGTGACTAAAGTGAGAGTTAAAAAATTTATAAGGATAGGGTCACCCGCTCTGAACATGTCAGCATATAAAAAGAAAGAGCCAATGGTGCTCCAAAGTACTTGCTTATATTAGCAGTTGCTTCCCTTGACACAGCCCCTGAACAAAGGAGTTTAGCTTGGTTTCAAACAAGAGTCAGCCGGCTAGGTATAGCATATGACATGTGGTTCCACAGACCTGTGTGTAGCACTTTATAAAAATCTAAGTTTAACCTCTTTTTTTTATAAACAACCTCTCTCTTTACCTTAAAATCCTAGCCAAAATCATGTTAGTTAAATGCTCCCTAAACATGCATTTGTTGACCACAGACTGTTTACATTGCTTTGTTTTGATGTTGAGTGGATGACTGGAAGGTGCTGCCAAGTGCTACTCTTTTATGTTTTATATGGTACCGATTTTGTTGTGGGCAGTGGTCCTATTTTTTTTTCCTTGTACTGAATTATCATCCATTGTGTAGGTGTGATGCTCTGTGACTGACAATACAGAGACCCTGTAACTCAGCTCTCTCTATCTGATTTCTATTTCAGGCGCTGTGTTGTGTAGTTCTGTACCTTGTGCTAGCTCCCTTTGACAATGAACAGTCAGATCTATTGCACCGAGTGGCAAAGGACAAGAACATGGAGGAAGTTCCCTTTTACGAGTAAGTACTCCCTTTGTTATGTGTTTCAAATGTTTTCCCTCTTATTAGATGTATCTACAATTTTCATTTTTTTGACAAGATCAGTCAGTCAAACTGTAGTTCAATTTTTATTAAGTGTTGGGAGAGGTTATTTTTGTAAAAAGTTAATTCTGAGAGGTAAATACTTTAATATTGAATTTTTCAAAGTTCTGGTATTAGAGCTTGCCGCAGAAAGGGGTTATGCGCTATACAAGTGTTTTGTTTTATTATTATTTGTTATATACAGGATGTTTATTCTCAAAGGTAATAGTGAATAAAAAAAATGTCTTTTTGTAGACTTTTTGTATGCTTGTATCGAAGTCAGGATTTTTGATTTTTAGACAATCAGAATGTGTGCTGTGCCAATATTGGTTGCTGGGATTAAATGAATGAAAAAGTTAATTGTTAGAATGGGTTTCCTCTATGTAGTTCTGTTTGAAGATTTAAAAAATGTGCTATTAAAATACAGGGCAGTTTGCTTAAACTGAAATCTGTGGGACGCTGAATTTTCTCTGGTGTAGCCAGGGTTTTGGTTTAGACTTAGATGAAAAAGAAAAAAAAATTTCCCCAAGAATTAGAGGCATCTTTATGTCAATTGAAAACTCTGAGATGCCTAAGTAAATATGTTTTTTAGGGGAAGATCAGGTTTGCATTGATTACATTACAACCGTATGCTCGATATGGCTAGCTACCTTTGGGGTTGGGAAATAAAAAGTTTAATGTCACTTCATAGCATGCATAGGTTGAAAAGGTTTAGAAAAGGAAACCATAGCATGGGCAAAACAAATTTCACTCTCTTTCTTTCTCTTCTTCACAGTTCCCCCATCCTTATGTCCCTCTGTTCTTTGTACCCTTCATTTCCTCCCTTTTCTCTATTTTTTTGTATGGCTGGTAGTCTAAAATTGTCTTAAAAATTATTTCTCTGCTATGAAATAATTTCTTTGCAAGGTACGAATAATTTCAGTTACCATCATAGGTTTGTTAAGAATTTTTCTTGGTTAAAGCTGCAAAATTTGACTTTTCCGAAAGGTTGAAGTTTAACTTGTTTGGTCTCGGCAGGAAATTTCTGAAGAACTTCACCACGAATGAAATCATCAACTGGAGTGGCCTCTGCAAGGAATATGAGAAGGGACTGCGTGGTGGAGAAACAGCCACATTTGTTTTCAGTGCCAGTAGCAAAGTGGAGGGCGGAGAGAAACGCTGGGCAGATCTCAAGAACAGAGTTGTAGAACATGTGAGTGCTCTTCGCTTTCTTTACAACAGCTGATAGATATTTTGGCACTTTCCAAAGACTTTGTTTATTCACTCTTTTCTTATGAAAGGGTGCCACTTTTATGGAGAGTTCCAGAATTTTTGTACTTTGAAAAGAATGGGACTACTTTTTCGTATTAGATGACCACTTTCAATTGGTGATGTCAGTATTTCTCTTTGGTTAAAGTTCATGTAGTAAAGTTTTTTTGGTCTTTACTGCTATTATTAGTACAGCACTGGCTGAGCTTATGCTTCGTTTTTGTTTGGTGAGGCCTCTGTGTTTTCTCTGTTACCGGGCAATATTGAGGGCAGGGGTAAGAAATTTTTTCGAAGATCTTGCTGGTTGGTGCTTTAAAAAACCTGAATTTTGCTGGTTTTACGAGGATGAGAGCAGAGGAAGTTTAAATTTAGATGGTTCTGTTCTGATGTGGTACAGAGGGACACATTGTTTTAACAAGTAAAAAGTTGCAGTTTAGTGTCTTCTGTTTTGAAATTTCACTCCTCAGTGTTTATGTTGCTGAAGATTGGGATTGTTGAAACTCCTCTGAAATCTAGAGATGCAAGAATCTCAGACAGTACCCGTTACTGTAGTTTGTAAAATACTGGGGTGTTGGGAACTTACTGGCAAAGTCCTGGAAAGTTGTTTGTATGTGGCCATTTTCTTGCTAATTTTATCTCTGACACCAGGCAACCTTCACCGCCGTCAATTGCAAACATCTCGTCTTCTGTTCAAGATAGATGGGTATTTTTTCTCATCAAAGCAGGATAAATGAACAAGTTGTAAGATGATACTATACTAACAACTCCATCTGATTCCATTGTGTTGTGCCACATACCATGTATTGCTGCAGTTAAGAAATTAGTATTTTGTACATTTTCTTCTGTAGCTGCTTTGAAAGAAAACAATAAAAAGGGTTAAGTGTTTTAATTTTCACTGGTTATGCCCCTTCTCTTGACATTAGTGGAACCGGAAGTTGTGGGCTCAATTGTGTAGTCGGAACTAGTGTGTGTTGTGGTTAAAACAATTATCTCTTTATCCAGAAGTCAGGTTTCATTTTGCTTGAATCTTATGCTTAGTTTGTCTAATAGTTTTTCAAAGATCTCTATAATTTAGGCTTAGAATCTTTCTAATCAGCAAGTTGTGTCCATTCTCTCCATTGATTAATGTTGTTGTTCCATTATCTTTTGCAGAACATTCGTGTAATGGCCAAGTACTATACACAGCTACGCATGCAGAGAATGGCTCAGTTACTTGACCTGTCTGAAAGTGTAAGTCCTATTCTTTATTCCAGATGCCTCTTTATTATTGTATTTCTCAGCTTTTGTTTCTAAAATGCAGAAGAAATAATGTGAGAAATATTTGTTACAAGAAGCTAGGCATCCTTCTGCCAGCCACTCGTGGTCAAGGCACAGGGCGTCTAAAAATAGGCATGTCCATTTAAAGGGCAATAACTTTGTCACTCCAAGATAGCAAAACAGAAGAAAGAGACACAAGAATGCACGTATGTCAATTGTGGGCCAGAGAGAGGCATCACTAGTGTACTGTTAGCTTACATTAATCACACACATATGTGGATCTCTGCGCACTGTTTATAGGCCTAGAAAAGCAAGGATAGCAGACGTTTGCCTGTCATGTGACCTTCATTTGGTCATGGCTTATTGTCTCTGAAGTTAGTTCACAAAAGCACTACACATGAGCATGTTTCATGACGTCACTTTGAATACAACAAGCGTCCCCACTCTCACTTCTTGTAATTTACTTTTGTGTCATCCACTTACCATTCCTCCTAGAGTTTAGTCTGTTCCTTTTTCGTGGCCTACCAGGTACTATTGACTCGTGGGTATCTTTTACCTGTTGTCAGAACAGTGTAGGTCTTTCATGTGTCCTCTCAGGAAATGGTGGAAGTTCTTTTGAGCCAACTGAATATATTTTTTTATCCTCGTTTTACATTTTTTAAAAATATTTAGAAATCACATCCAGGCTGTTTGTTTCTAACAGGAGACTGAGGAGTTCCTCTCCAACCTGGTGGTGAACAAAACTGTCCAGGCCAAGATTGACCGACTGGCCGGTGTGGTCAGTTTCAGCCAGCAGCGTGACCCTAATGCCGTGCTCAACGCCTGGGCGACCCGTGTCTCCGATCTGATGCAGCTGGTGCACAAGACCAACCACTTGATCAACAAGGAGCAGATGGTTCATCAGCTGGGTCCTGCTGCCGATGTTAAAGCTTAAAGTTGTCTCCTCTTTTTAGGGGCTTGGGAAATAGAAAGGGACAGGAGTTGATACTTTGAATATATAAATATTACAGCTCTGTGCCTGTCATGTGTATGGTGCCCTCAGATAATTAGTTGGATGTTTAAAAAAAAACTTTGATAAGAATAGCTCCAGAGGTGTAACACCTGTCTCCTGTTTGTCCTTTTGAATTTAGAATTACATTTTTTTTCTTCTAAAATTTGAAATAATTTGAGGAACTTCAATGCGTAATGTTGATAAATTTCCATAGGATATGAAAGTTCACCAGTGATTGTAAAATTTGACAAATAAATGCATCATTTACTTGACACAGTTTATAAGGGAATCGATAGAAATAAATGTTTTGTAATTTCATTTATATTTAGATATATCGGAACTATACTAAATTCTGCATTTCTAGTTCTGATAAGAAAAGTATGGCACATAGCTTCTGTATATGAGAACATTTGTGACACATTTGCTGTCATTACTCTTCCTGATTCTTTTCTTTTTTCTGTGTTGGGGCACAACTGTGAAAGGGGAGGGTGGAGGGGAGTGTGAAAATGCGGATATTTTGACAGGTGGGATGGCATGACAAGAATGAGATTTTGGAATTTTCACTTAGCAAAGATATTGTCTGGTGTTTGTCATGCTGTTGTTGTTTGGAGAGTTGTCAGTGTGAGTGAAATGTGTAAGCGGCTGTGTGAGGGGCTGAATGGTGAGCATGGAAAAAGTTATTTGCACTTGTGTGGAAAGGTTATACGACCTCTTTTGGTACAGTTTCTCGTTGTTGGAATGCTGTTTCATCCCCAAATATGTTTCCTTGTGTATTTCACACTTTGATTTTGCGTATTTCTTTGTTTAGTTTGTTAACTTATTGATCATTTACATGTGTTGCTTTAACAAAAACCTTGTGGTTACAGCGAAGTGGATTGAAAAGAGGCTTTTGTTGGGGGGGGGGGGGGGGGGTTATTTTATTCTGTGAAAGTGACTTTAAATAATACTGTTAGTTGGATTTCTACAGCTTGATATGTCATTTTTAGATTTAAATTAGAAGACTGTTGTGATCTGTAAAATGATAGAAGTTCAGAATTAAAATATGTGAACTTTGAGCAGTCTCAAGTTTATTTTGCTATGTTTATCACAGGTTGATTTCCTTCTTTTTTTTATTTTGCAATCTCCTGTTTGATCTGAAGGGCACCCAGTTGTAGATTTCCTTTATCTGGGGTAGTGTGCTTGTTTAGCATTTGTGTGTGGCTGAGGTCTGTATTCATTGTTGTCAAACTTGGCTTTTGACATACATGTGTGACAACTACTGTCATTTGGATGAATGACACTTCTGACAGTTTGTACAAATGTCATGGTATTGAATTAAAATGATCTTTGGTACATTTCATAGTTACTTTTTCTTTGTATTATGGTTTCTATTTTATGGGAGTTGTGCTGTTAATATTTCTTTGGGGCCAGACTTGAACCTTCACTGTCCCTCTATTGTTTTTGTCTGCCTGCTTTGCTTTCTCCCATTGCTTGATTAACCTTTATCTCCATGATTATGCACAACTTGAACAGACAAATTAGTTTACTTATTGGAAGGTTTATTGTCTTTTTGGAAGAGGGGGGGGGGGGGGGTGGAGATGTGTATTTAAAAAATGCAGTTTGGAGATTGGATGGAGGTCACTGCTTCCTGTAGAAAGTTCTCTTTGACAGACTGCAGGAGATGGATGAGTCCTTTCACTTCTTTTTGGCAACCTGGAAAGCTCTGTCCTTGTAGTGGGTGGTTGGCGGGTGCTCTGGTGTGGTTTGCTCCTTCTTTCCCATCAAACATCTATCGTCCTTATCTCCCCTCCTTTTTTTATGTTTGTTACTCTCTTGTAACACCTCTGATCTTCTGGCACTCATATGACCTTTTGCGGTTGCGAGCGCCGTAAAACCTCTACTAAAACTAAAAAAGAGATATTTGATACAGGTATGAGTTGCCGCTTGAGACAATAGAGCCTGGCACCTTTGTTGTGCACACTTGATGATACTTCATCTGTATCATTGCAGTTTGCATGCTTCTGGGGATTATGTCCTTTGCTTTAGACATGATCCAAATTCAAATGGTCTTGAATTGTCATCAGTTCCAATTCCAATGAACAACAACGAAATAGAGAAACAAGCTTTGGGAAGCAGAGGTGACACGTTCATGAGCATAGCCAAGACAGACAGAAAGTGTCAAGTCCTGATTTATAAAACGGTACAATCCTTCAGTACTGTTTGACATTATTTTAAGTAGCTTTATATAATAATTGTTGTATCTACACTGAACACTTCTTAAATTCAATATATTTGGCAAGAAGCTGGCACTGTTGTCCTCAGCCAGTGATGTACTTAGAACTTCGAGTGTATGGCCCTGTTTAAATATGCCATTAAATAGATTTCGGCCACAACGTTGGTTTAACTTTAATGTTCGTCAATTGTACCGTCTGCTCGATGAATTGCGTTTCCTGTTGAATTTGTCTGTCGCCGCGGATATTTTCAGAGCTCGGGCTATGCTAGTTGGGCGACGTGAAGGCGCTGACACTGCTATGTGGGAAGAACCAGGAGAGCTAGGGAGAGGTACTCAGTTGCTTTATTCAGAGTCTGGGATTCAAAAACTCTGCATCTTAAGTATGAAAGTACTGATGATGGACAGCGAGCTGATAGACAGCCCACAAAGATCAGGCCGAATTCTAAGCGTTATGTTAGCTGTTGTCATGAAAGAAGGCTACCAATAAATACATGCATGTAGCTGCTAACTTGATATCAATTTAAAATCTTCACTCTTAAGTCTTACCATAACAATTTGCCATATCTTTCTCTTATTGTGGACACGACAAGATTGAACTTGAGTTCTATGATTAGCTGAGTTGTCCAAAGCCGCGATCTGACCTTGGACCTGACAACGATACATGCCATACACGTGTTAGCTTGGCAGCGATAGTGAGCCAGGGCAGTTATTTCTAGCGCTCGTTATGTATAAGGGATTAGTGGACGACGACCCACGCTCGACTCAATTTATTTTGGACCATACCTTGAAAAGGACTACTCTGCTTAGCCTACATGACATATTGCATGTATTCAGGCGCGGTTCGTCCATAGAACACGGTCGTGCAGTGTCGCCCAAAATGTTTTAATATTCTATTACTTAAAGCCCTCCCAAACATAAAATAAAAGAAGCAAGAAACAGGCACTAGCCAAGTATACCAAAACAAGGTCTTCGCTGGCGTTGTAACTGCCTTGTTCGTGTCTATATCGCCGTAAAACATCTACCATACCATGCCAAAGTCTACACACTTTAACTAAACACAATAGTATATTCAAAAGTGGTAACCTGACCTATAAATCGCTCTTTGGGATAACCCCAGCGATGACGACACTCGCAGCGAGTTTGGCGGTACTTTAATATTAATAAGCTGGCACATCTCAAATGTGCTCCTGACGAATAGTGCCGATTCATAGCCCACAGGAGGCAGTCCAAAAATAAACACGATTGACTGTACGCTATTCAATGCCAAAAGTATGTGAGCCTCGGAGCAATCCAGCGGAGTGCTCAAATGAATTATGATTGGTTCATCGTCTTGCCGCTATTTTAAGTGACTCTTTGACCGTGAACCTGAGGGAGGTGAACGTGATATACTTAAGTCACCGTCCTATGGGCTGTGCCTTTAAATGGTTTTGTAGTGAAGTGGTGAAAGTTATTACTGGAGTGTTCAGTTCTAATGCAGGAGGAATGAATTTGATGTTTAGCTAACAAACAAATTTGGTTCTAGAAATCAAAGCGACACGTAAAAAGAATTAAAATAAAGCATAAGGTTCTCCTTCACCAACCCAAAGATCCTGAAATTATAGACCATCCAATTTACTATGCCCTTGATTATCTTCAGCCTAAAATAGCTTAATTGTGCACGCCCACTTTTTTGCCCCATGAGCCGCCCCTGCATGTGTTATGTTAATAATACTTATCTCATTGCTGAAAACATGGAGTGGATTATTCCTAATGGGAAATAGAACAAGATTTGTGCAGTTGGTCATTTTCAACTATTTTGTTGCTGTTATTTCAGCCATTTTCCCGTCTTTTCAAAATTCGGCGCAGTCGTCAGATGTATTGCTTGTTATTGGTTCAGTTTCGGGGTGAGTCAAGGTTATCTCTAAAGATGAACACATCCCGCAGTTTTTTGAGAGTCCTTACGGTTTGGAGAACTCAGGGAAAACTTCCGCTGGTAGAGGATCATATTGTGACATCAGGAAGTCTTTTTCTAGAATTTTCTTCACGAGTAACCGCTGGTGGAGAGGAATTTGTCTGTACATTTTCGATATCATGTTTTTTCGTTGCTGGGTGTGGTTGAAATTATCCTTTGAGAACAAATGCGCATTAGATGCCAAATTGCCGAACTGTTCACCTGAAATTTTCTCGCTCTGATTTCTGGAGACTGGTAGTTTCATATCTTCTGAAATATATCCTCTAACCTGGAATGATAGCCATAGAGACTTCATTACTGTAAATTTGTCTGTACACATTCTAACGTACTTTAAACCATCGGTCAAAACTTCCGCTGTTTTTCTTAGAATAGTTTTTTCCTCTAGGGGAACAATTTGCACACTGACATTTACACTTTTTAGAATATGGGCCAGGTCCTCTCTGAAAGTTTCCAAGTGGCCCAGGAAAGTGTAATTTCTCTGACAGAGATGACACTGATCATGGATGGGGATGAAATGTGGATTTCTGTGCAGCCCTGATGTTTCAGATTCTATAAAATAGTTTATGAAGTCAGCAAAGGTGGCATAGGCGGCGCACTTCTTGGTCCATTTGTCCGAGCCGTTGAGGACTCGTGCTCCCTTCATGATGTCATAGCCAACTGTTGACCACCAGCTGGGAGTTGTGAGGACTTTGTCGATGTATCCCGAGATGAGTCGAGAATAAGGTTCTCGTACAAAAACGAAACTCTTTCTTTTTCGAGCCCGATAGCGCTTGATCGAACCCCCGTGTACTTTTTCCAACGTGTTCAGCTGTTCTTTCAGCGCGTACTGGATGTATGTGGTTCCCACTTTGGGGATTCGGCACCAGCGGAGTCGGTCAAAGGCCACGAAGACGGTCCGGCCAGTAAGTGACATCACGTTCTTGTCGTTTGCGGAAACTTCTGAACGTTTACACTCCTTGTTCAAGTGTTCTCGCCTTTGCTGGAACCTCTGTTCAACCTGAGTGTGTTAAAAAATAAGTGAGATAAAAAAACAATAACAAAAAATTACGACACACAAATATCTAGACGTTTTTTCTTTTTTCTTTTTTTTCTCTTTTTTTTGCATTAGAAATAGTCGTCATATTTTTGTTGGTAAAAAACAACAACAACAATATAAAAAAATACCCCCAAACTACACAAACTTGCAAAGAAATAAATATAACAAACACGAGCATATTCATAATAGATCTAGATCTAGATCTACAGCTGAAAGTTACAGAGAATATATTTTTGGGGGTTTTTTTTCTTACTGAAGTGTATTGTTTTTTTCTTCCAAATACACAACAAATTAGTGATACTGATATGTTCTGTTTTAAATTTTTCCGTACATAAAACATGAAAATCATGAAAATT